TACATCCAAGTATGTGTCCGGTATGTACTTATTGTGAGATAGACACTGCTGTGTATAAATAAATGTTTGCAGAGAAAAGTGCTGTCATGTGGACAGCAAATATGTGCATGTTTGTGTTAAAGTGAAAATTACATTAGAAAACCAACAGCAACAAACAAGCACAAGTTTGGTCAGCTAATGATTACATGGTGTGGGCGTCGCTTGCAAATTCAAATATGCTTTCTAATTAGCAGCTGCATAAGTGATGCGGCGTTCGCTGATGCAATGCTGCTACCTATGCTGGACATTTCCGAGTGATTGATGGTGAAGATACATATTTTAAAGATGACACATTTAATTAAGCTTATAGCTGAAGATCATATTTCTACCAATGCTAAGAGCAATCAACCTCCAAATAAGGCAGATAACTTATCGCGGTCCAGGAACTTAATATATGGATATTCTGCAAGAGAATGCAAAGAACCGCTTGAGAACGACGACCAAGAGCTGCCATCTTCTAACCTAGGCTGTTATGCGACATAGAATCTACCCAATACCGGGTAGTAGTGGTAGCCCTACCGTGTTATAACGTTCTGGAACGGAAGACCCTTAGTTATCTTTAACAAGCTAATATAACGGTCCTTACTAAACGAGCTACTGGTCATACGAAAAAAATTAATACAAACTGGAAGAGCTAAGTTCGGGTGTAACCGAACATTTTATACTCTTACAACTTGCAATAATCAAAACCCGGGAAATTCCTTCAGGTGCTGGCAAAACTTTATATTAAAAAAATGTTTGTGATCGATCGTGAATAAATTACAATCAAATTTGGTATATTCTTGACTTATATTCAAGGCCATAAACTTAGATTTTTATTGCTATATTTTAGTTCGCGTTAGCTAAAATTATATTAAAACACCGAAGCGGATATATTTAATATATTGAGTCGTTGTGGAAAACGTCGACCAAAGATCGGAACTAATTATATTAGGAATATGAGGCTCCAATTCAGCGCTAAATCTGATAATTTTTAAGAAAGTTTGTCTTGTTTACACATTTTGACCAACCTGAACGGTTTAAATACAGGTGCAAAGACGGAAATCATATTACGGGGTAAATTGGGGATAATGAAAGGGACGGAGAACATATTTTGAAGCCATTTTTTATATAATGTAAATAATACTCACTGACCGACATATTCGGCATAAAACTTGATAGATAGACTGGGTTCCAATAAAGTACCTCACATACAATCACTAATCATATTGAGTAAAGTGAGCCGTTTATTCAAAAATCCTGATATTGTTTATATGGAGACTAGGTCAACTTTTCGCCCAATTTTATACATTTCAAACACAAATATACGTTTTTATGAGTAAAACACGCTCTCTCATTTTCATTGAGATAGCTCACATATTGGCCGATATATGCGAAATAAAATCACCCAGAAATTCAGAAATCTTTATATTAAGTATATGAGGGCTATAGGAAGTATTGATCCGATTAAACCAATTTTTGACACAAAAACATATTATTATCGAGAGTTTCATTTATTTATTTTATTATATGATTTTCAATTATACTCGTATATCTTACACATTGACCGATATTTTCGGTAAAAAGTAAACTACGAAACTGAAAAGTGAGGGGATCCACTCATTCGGTACCTAGGGGCTTGAACAGTTTTGGTACGATTTGCACAATTTTTGGTCATAAGGTGGTATACACTCATTTTTGCTTGATTTGCATACTAGAAAGTGAGGGAATCAGATGCAATTTAAAATTTTATTATGTGGGAAGTAAGCGTGGTTGTAGTCCGATTTTGCCCATAGCACTGTAATATAGGAATGTCAGGAAAGCATTACGTACTAAAGTTGGTTGAAATCGGTCGAGCAGATCCTGAGATATGGGTTTTCCCCTTGTCCAATTTTTTCTTTAGCTACTATAAAACTTAATTGTACCATCTTATATATAAAATCCAAAGTCTCTGTCTAGTTTATTTACAATAAGTATTTGCATTGTAATTTTCTAAAGTGTACTGAATATAAATCTCAAAGCTATGTCTTAATTTTTCAGCTGATTTGACAGCTATCCCTCTAGAAATTATTTATCATACAAAAGAAAGCTTCGTATGAACTTCAACGCTATCTCCAAACTCTGATCTGGATCAGATCTGGTGAACTGTATTCATCTGGTTAGATTCATAGATTGAACTAGAACAGTTCTTGAAAAACTCAATAAGGAGTTTTTCTTTTTGAACCCCTAATAGAATTCTTCTTTCACCGTCTTGGAATTCCACCAACTCACTCTCCTTACTGCTGGCGTATATTATATTTGGGTCACACTCAGTCGCAGGTGTAAAAGCATTATTTGCATTTATTTGCGTAATTTGATATTTCTAACAACACGTAGAAATACGAAACGCAGCAAGGTTGAGGATAGCTCAGCAAGCGCCGGATTCGTACGCAATACAAGCACCCACGTGTATTTGGCGTTGAATAAGTCTACACTCAAATATGGTCGCTGGCAAAAACAATCAACAAAATGAACGATTACAAAACCGAAGTAAAGCAATTATAATAATATATATACCGTTAAACGCTATACAAGTATATGCCCACACTTCCCTTAGAGAACGAGGAATGCTCGGATTAAGTCAGTGAGGTGGCCAATTAGCATTGCAGCAAATCGCTGAAGATTGCGATAAATATTGTAAAAAGTCAATTATTAGAAAATACTTATATAGCTTTGATGCTTTGATAATTAATGACAAGGGATTAAAGCAATTTGATTAAGGATTTAAGAGAATTACTTATTAAAAGGAACATTAAAGTTTAATCAGAGAAAAGTCCATGTTGTTGTTGTTGTTGTAGCGGCAGAAATGTGCCGAGTTGACAGTCCTTGGCCGGAATAAACCCGGGTCCGTTCCGGTTACGTAGACCCGACTGTCGTGGGAACAGTCCATCATAATTTGCAGCTGTTTCGTAATTTCTGTGCCAGGCAGAGGTTTGAAAAAACATTTGAAGCCAAATGTTTTGCTACTCTCTTTTACCAACAGGGATTATAAGAGATTGTTTCTAAATGACCGTATTTAAGTAAGCGCGCGACAGAAACCGCGAAGGCATTTCCATTTCTGTTTTACTCACATACTTCATACACGTTTTTTAGAACATCGAATTCGAACATACAAATTTCAATAGTTCAATGTGAATAATTTTGAATCGGGCGCTTGATATCTTAATGAATTACTTACGACTATGCCCTCTACATATAGTTTTGTGGATCGGTAATATATACATTCAATTATCTAACCGATGGACCTACATACAGAGAGATCTCTATCGGAAGACACGCAATCTCGTGAAATCAGAGGTTTAATAATCTCATTATTCATTTTCCATATTTCAAAGGTGTATAAGAGGTCAGTTTGTATACCAGCCTACTGTAATCAACATGCTTATTAATGGCACATTTATACGATGAGAATTCCCTTAAGCTAGATCGCAAAACACCCACTAAGCTAGGTTTTCTGTCAGAAAATTAAAAAAAATATATTTGTGTACGGATGGGGAAACCCTCCAGGGATAGTAATTAATGTCAGATGATGAACTTCTCTGCGCGGATATTTCCATAGGACTAAATCTCTTTCACCTTACTGTAGGTTCGACCAAAATCGGTACAAAGGGTTAAAGCGCTAAACAAAACAGTGTGGATTATAATCTAATTGGCGATAAGAAGTCTGTCATCTGAAAATCATTTAAACAATCTCGATTTCGATAGCTTTTATCAGTCGTGGGTCCAATAAGAAAAACTGTGCTTAAAAGCTTAAATTGCGCAACAACAGAATTTGATAGAAACCGTCATTTCGATTTAAAAACCTAAAACCATCATATTTGTTTTCATATTTAGCCAATCTAAGTAGGCACATTAACTGTTTACTATAACATTAAGACAAACAGTAACCCGAAGAAGCTGTCAGCATCCGTGTCAATTTTGGTGGCAAACTGAAGAACATAACCTAAAAATAAGAAAAATTGGCGAGTTCGTTGTACTATCGACGCTCGTCCATATAGATATGTCGTCGGCAATATGTACCGTTTTACTTTACACACACTAAAATATTTACCAATTTCATTTTATATGCAATGCGAACAAATAGACAGCTATGTTGACATAGCACAGCTGCCTTGTACTGGAACAAGCCTAAAAACCATATTATTTGTATATAACTGCATATGTATGTGTTAATGTGTATATGTAGTTATGTAAATCGAAATCATATTTATTTGCAGGAAGTGCGCCACATTACAACAACCAAAAGTAAGACGCGCTACAACATGTTCAGTAAATCGAAACTAGAAGGGACTCTGATAGGCATAAATAAACCTACTGCATACGTACTATAGGACCTAGTGATAAGCAAAGTGTGTGTGTGTGTGCTGGTGGTGGAATGAGTGAATATTTCGTTGCGTCGTAGGGTTTTCGAAAATTTATGCGACCGACCTTCGGTGCGCGCACATTCCATTTGAATGCACGCTGTGAATATGATGATAATTTATGCTACAATAATATGCAAATACAACAGCAACAAATGGAGCAGAAGCATATGGGAATATATTCATATTTACGGCTGGATATATGTACGTATAGGGATGTGTATATATGTATATATATTGTTATATCAGAACGCCATATGCGAAAGAAGAGCAATGATAAGCTGTGATAGCGATGATCTGGAAACTATTGTGAATCCAGCTGAGTTGGGAGAATAATAGTGGGCTTTAAAGTGCGGTTTTGCGGAAGACCACCTTCCGGTTTTGGCAAAACTTTATTAGAAAAAGATTATTTCTAAATTTTATAAAGATTTCTTACATATTGACCAATAGATGCGGTATAAAGTGAACCGGCGGATTCGAAAATATTCATCATAGGATGAGAAGAGTTGACCTGCTTTTACCCGAGTTATAGTGCGATTTCGACAATTTTTGAACGTAAAATGAAATGAAATGAAAATGAAATTAAAAGTGCAAAGTTTTACTCTGATAACTTTATTGATATTTCATTTGTATGCTGTTAAGTGAAAGAATCACGCGGAATTTGAAAGTTTGTTAAATCGGAATTGGACGTGGTTGGCATTTTATTTCGCACATTTTTGCAGTGTCTAATAGGAATGTTTGGGTAATTGTATAGACTAAATTTAGATGAAATCGGTCGGGTAATTTCTAAGATTTAGAATTTCACCTAAAGGGGTGTGATGCACACCAGATCCTATAAAGACCTTCTCTACCATCCTGGTTGTGAAATTTAATGCTTAGCACCCTTACTTGCATATTTTGGGATCCACTTCTTTTCCACTTTAGTTCTGAGAATATAGCTCTTAAGTACTTTCCATGCTTGTAGTTTACCGGCACCTCGACGAAACGCTTTGTAAAGAAAATATTTCCATTCCATATTAGTTCGCTTTTACTGCTGGTTATAACAGCGCATAAGCACACATTCTAGCGTCGGTATACTTTTTTATACTTGCACCATGACTTCCTGCTGATTTCGCCTCTGTCAACCATGCTTTCCTTTCTCCGTTCTTTTTCGCTACGCCCCGGTTTTTACACTTGCTTTGTAACTTTTATTCTGTTGTAAATACGACAAATTTGTAAATCCGATAAGGCAAATCCATAGGTAATAAAGGAAATTCGATTTCCACTCATTTATATAATGATTTATTTTACATGTACATTTATGTGCTTGTTTACCTATATTTCATTTCCTTAAGTTTGCTACGCAAAATTATATTTGTTGTTTTTTGTAGAAGAAATCAATTTACCGCTTTAACACGTGACATTTATATGAATCAGGATTTACATTGGAATCCTGTCAACTTCTTAAATAAATTTGATTTCGTTTAATCCTTCAATTTCATAGTGTAAAAGTATAATATTTATATACAGTTATGTTCACACAAACTGCAGTGCTCATTTAAGACCCGTGTGACAGGCGTTTTGTTGAAAGTTTTTTCGGACTTTTTATAGTGAAATGAAAAAACACAGAGCTTCCAAATTTTTACTATATTTTTAATAAGATTTTAGCTATAATTTTGAGTTTTGTAAGTAAAATTAAATATTTTTTTAATTGCGAGATTTATCAATCCAATGGCACCCATGTAGAAAAAAGTAGACAAACGGCGTCCTTGATCCAGCAGACTGACTAACCTAACATTAACAGAATTGCAGGTTAATCTGTAGGTAGATATCTGAATCTAGGATCTTCTACAAATCTTGTAAATACAAATGTGTAATATTTTTAAACATTAAAACCCAATATTTCATGAACTTCGACTACTTTTTTATGAAAAAAAACGGCTCTATATATTTAAAAACCCTAGTTCGGGCGATAGCCACATGTGTGATGAATCTACCATTAAAATTTTAAAGCTATAGATGGAACCGTTTTAGATAAATCGTGGACGCCAGTTTAAAAAATTTGGTTTCAAGAAAAACACGATCACGCGCTCTAAATACCTTACTTTCTCACTCCTGTTACTATTCAACTACATTCAATTTCAAAAAATTACCTAACAGCATATTCTATAAATGCTCTAGATTGATTCAAAAAAAAAAAACAAAAAAAAAACGATTTTTTGAAACCGTCAATATTGAACTGTTCATGTGGGTATTCGTAAACAAAAATCTACCACATTGGTCTAGTGTCACATACTTGAATGTGTATTTGTAGGTACTTTTAAGGCACATCTTTTGAGTTTATTTCTCAATTTTAGACAACTTAATATTGCTCTCATTGAACAACAGCTATTTTTTTGTGCATCCTTGCATTTTTGCTTAAAATTTTTAAGTGTTTATGCTCAGGTTTTATGCATAAATTCATCAATTAACCGAATTTTATTAACAAAATTCACAATTTTCCACTGCAACATAATAAAACAGTTGGAAGGGCTAACAGCTAACGGTTATTGGGTGGCAAAACCTGATGTTGACACACAGGGTGCACAAGTGTTAAAAAATATACTTTACAAAATAAGATTTTGGTTTCATATAATAATTTATGCCAGTTCTAATGTTATGTGATATTTAAAAAAAGTAATTAATAAAATGCAGTGATAGTTAAATGTCACAAATTAAAATATTAGCAAACAAATATATTTTAATAGAGTTATTCTATAACAATAAAATATAATACTTACTCACTTTTTAATAACACTCTAACAAATTGTTCTTAAATAACTTATATATTTTTGAATTTATAGTTAATATATTATTTGTTCATACCAACTAACTAGTCATAATATATGTATCGATAATTTTGTGTGAAAGGTATTGAAAGTGGCATCATCCTTAAATACACTCTGACAGGTCAACCAAACAAACAACAACAACTGCCATGAAAACAGGGTTGTTAATGCAAAAAAAAACATCTCACATGACAATTGAAAACCTTTTCTGATTTTGTTTTGTGCTGTTTTCTTTATCTAAATATATTTCGAGTCAATCCATATAAGCTTAACTTTACAAAGTTTAATTAATATCATGCGAAATTATTTACAACATTTCATGTAGACTATTAGAGATTTGATATAATATTAGAAGGGTAATTTTCGTAGGGGATACTTTAAAAATCAACCCTACGAAGTGAAAATTTGATATGAGAAAAATCAGCCGGGTGCTAGTTTGCCTATTTAGAACAAATTAAATTTAATTATTATAATTTAATTAACATCTGTCTTTGGCAGAGAAGTTGTATCGTGTGATAGTAAAGTGAGTATATCTAGCTCCGTACAATACTCACATAAAAGGGTCACAATGTTTGAGGACGCTGAGAATTTTGCTGATATTTTCCGCGGTGGACTGCCCTATCTCCTGATTGCACTGCCTATTTTACTCATTTGCTCAGCTAATCCTGCGTTGGCATCCAGCGAATTCTCCGTGCAACGTATGTCACAATTCGATGTCAATGGTGTGGCTTATGGTGAGTAGTCGCGCACGACTGCCCCTGATAATAAAGTGATGTGTCGCTAAGTGCAAGTGGGACATTAGCTCCTGTTTTGGTTATTGCAACTAGGTTATGTTAGCGCGCTCAAGGTTTAATTTCTCTATGTTAACTTATCTTTATCGTTGTTTGTTGCGTGTGCATTTGTGGTGTATTCAATTTATTTGTATTCTATACAAAAAAAAATGCGCTCTGTTTGAGGTTAGAAAATTTATATTAACAATTTGTAAAAATAAAGAAACGTTTATTAGCGTTTTTAAAATATATTTTTATTGATACTTCTATAACATATAACTACGACACTATATCATCCTTTATTCATTATACCAGGATGTCGAGCATCCGCATTATCGCTAGAGGCGAAATCTCTATATACTTGGAGCACTGGCAGGCACTGTGTGGTCGCAAAGTAAATATTATTTTAGGAAATGTGTATATTGCTAAATATGTTTTTTATTACTAGATTACAAGATATAACTATAGATCAGTTCCGTGAAATACGCCAAAAAGCTGGAGGTTTGGTTATACTGCTACCGCAGCATGTCAGCGATATGACTTTTGAGGAAAAGGAGGTAATGCGAATGCGTGTATTTATTATCAATATTTGTTAAAACTAATGTCACCTTATTTTTATCAACTTTTAGCACCTCAACTTGCTTGAACAAGCTATGCTGGCACAACCAAATTCAATTCCTATATATTTCTCACCATATAATCCCGAGCTGGAACGTATTATAACGGATGTCACAAGAACAACCAGCAATAATATTGAGGGCAAAGCTCAACGCACGTCAGCGGCTACAGAACTTTTGGCTTCAATATCAGCCAATGGTTATCAGGTTATTGTATCTGGTGGCAGTCATTTAGCCAGCAAAAATAGTAGAATACCCATTATACAAGGTGAACTGGCAGCTACAACCAAGATTATGAAGCAAATGGAAAGTGGCGGTGAGTCCAACAGCAAATTGCCATTAATCGTCATAGCCTCACATCTCAACACATTCGGATTGTACAATGTAAGGAAACATAGTGTTTACTTGAGAATATTCATAATGAAACTATTGGTTTTTCTGCACCTAGGAATACCCTTTAAACGCCGATGCTGCAGTGTTGCTGACACTTGCGGATGTATTTAGCAAATTGCACAGCACACCTAACGCAGTGCCAAAATATCGCCTTTTATTCTTACTCACGGAATCGGGAATGCTGCTAAATTTCCAAGGTGTCAAAAAGTGGCTCGATGAAAATGTACAACTGCAGGTATGGATGTTGTAATTAGTTTTATAGAAAAAAAACATTATGTACATTGAAAATGAATATGTAAAATGCTGCGCTATGGACTAAAGGAAGACATCGTGTCCATTACCGGTTCTTTAATTGCGGCCAAGAATCCAACCAATATATTAGACGAGGTTTGAGAGCGTCTACAAGTTATGTGCTTTAAAAGTATTGCTATATTAAAGAACCAATTAGCGTACATTGCTTGAAAATTGCAAAAACTGTTATTTTAGATTGTAAAAGAAATGTATAATACAATAATTTAGTTGCTAGGTATAAATAACGCTTTTTATAGGTGAAACTTTTGTTTTTATATTTATTAATGATTTATAATAGCAATTCTTCACTTTCTACTTCAGAACGTTGATTTTGTGCTCTGCTTAGACACGATTACACAATCGTTGAACGCTGAAACTGGCAACCTTTATATGCACGTCTCAAAACCACCCAAAGAGGGCACCGCAATGAATGATTTCTTCAAATTGCTTAAAATCGTAGCGGCACAATATGGCAATGTCACAGTCGATGGTGTACATAAGAAAATCAATTTGGCCGATCAGCAACTCGCCTGGGAGCATGAGCGTTTCAGCATGCGCCGTTTGCCAGCTTTCACGATATCCGCATTGAAATCACCCAAAGAGCCAGTACGCGCCACCATATTCAAAGACGCTGAAGAACAAATTATTGCGCAAACGCAACAGCATGCTAAAATTTTAGCTGAAACGCTAGCAAATTACTTGTATGGTTTACAGGAGCCATCTGAAATTTTTGCTGGGCCAATGGTGAGTACAATAAATTGTAATAGTTAATTATATAAGCTATTTATTTATGCCAATATTATTATTATTATTATTTTTTTTTTTGCAGGGCATCAATAAGAAACTCATTAAAGCTTACCTGCAGGTCAAATCTGCGCTCCATAACAACGACCTGAAGAACGCTTTCGAAAAGTACTTAAAGAATGTGAAGATTATGTATGATAAACCCGACACACGCGATCCGGACTTTATGCTCTACGATGGTCAGGAAGCGCGCCTAAATGTGTATCACGTGAAACCTGCCATTTTCGATCTCTTCCTAACCATACTCATATGCGCATACCTCGCCTCTGTGTACTTTGTCATACAATTCTTTCCAGCGTTATACGACACAGTTTGTAAAATGACCAAAGCGCAACCGCCGCTGACGCAAACCAATTCCAATAATACAAAGTCTAAAATTAATTAAAAAAAACAAAAATAAAACGAAAAATAGTAATATTTTTGAACAGCAAAACTTTAATGTACAGATGTACAAATTTTCTTGAATACTTACTAACTGTATTAGAACAATTACAACATGTAACCAAATAGTGAGTTATACATCATACATAATAGATACATACATATATACATGCATATTTGTATATACATATATATATATATATTGGTAAGGGCATAATTTTGTATGACACACAACAAAGTGAATTTTAGAAAAAGAGAGACTCGCAATTCAAGTAAGATAAGTAATAAAATCAGTAATTCATTTATTAGTTATATACGTAATTTGTGCAAGCAAGGTGAAAGGTTGTTAGTAAAACTAAATAAATATAATAAAACAATTAAATAATATATAAAAAAAAAAATTAAATTAAATTTTAAAAAATAAAATAAAAAAAGTATATTAAAAAAAATAATAAAAAAAAAATAATATTAAAAAAAATAAAATAAAACTATTAAGCGGCATTATAAACATCGTTAATAACACGAGCACCCAAGTATGTTCCGTTATTCATGTAGTATGAACAATAATTAACTCGACAAAACGAATTGTGCCATTACTGCTGCTCAATTATGCAATTTCCACTTAAATACACGTTTAAATAATATATTATAATAAATTTAAAGAGTAATCATTGTGAGTAAACAAATATTCCTAGGAAAGCATTAGGCACACATTTCCACACAGTCCACATATGCATTTAGACACTCACCCGCTGACAGCGGCGGCGCAGCAGCAGTAACTGTAAGCAATACTTCTAAATAATACTTTAAAACATGAAATTATATAACAATAATTAAAGCATAATGTAGTAGTCAAATGTGTTTTCGACATTATTTTAGTATAAAATCAAAGTATACATACCTACATACATATATAATACATGTTGTTTTGATTAGCTTCAAATTGTAAGTTCAAACTAATGTGGCAACGTTTAAAATATTCATGATTTCACACGTATTACTTTAAATGAAAGTAAAACTGAAAAAAAAATAAAGACAAATAAATAAAACTTAATTTAGAAAACGACTTACTCCGTGTGTGTGTGCTGCTCATTTAATACATACAAGCATGTGCATATAATACATATAAGAATTATTTAAGCATTTAGTGCAAGGTGAGTAATATAAATGTGATGTTCTTCATTCAGTTCTTGCATTTTTCTGACAGTGGCTATTCAAAGTCTGATTATTAGCAAGAAATGTTAAGTCTTCTATGGCATTTAATAGACGTTTCAGTAGTTTGATCATAGCGAAAAACACTGCTATAAAAAATGTTTGAACGGGAAGTGGTGTTTAGTGCCATGTGGGGGCCCTTGGCCGGTTAAAATACCGTTTTCGTTGCGCTTAGGTTAACTCGGCTTTCCTGAGAGCGGAATATCCTTGACTAACGGTACTTGGCTCATTGAAAGCTTTCGAAAATGTAAGTATTGCTTGCTGTCATTTCCAGCAAGTCGGCAATAAGTAGCTATAGCTGGCATACTCTTTTGGGTGTGGGGTAGCAAAATCACTGCATTTATTATCAACACCGCTCAACCAAGGTTTGTCCATGCTAGAGAAGAGGTTAAAAGTTTTCAAGAAGTCTGTTCGCTTATGACATTTTGACAGGTCGAATAGTAGTATAACAGATTTCTCCCGAGTCAGCTGATCTCTCCATCAACTGTCTGAGTTGAATCTGTACAGGGTACTACAGCTATGCTTCCACAGGGTATGTGTTAGTGGTTGTATTGTAATACAGGCGAGATAAAAGCTTAATGTTTCCGCTTTTTTTCTTAGAACAGTTAAGACTGGTTGACGTTTTGGCTGCTTGAATGAGGCACAGCGCTTCCTAACGGGAAGTCGTCTGCCCTCATTTAGCAGATGCCGTGTTGCTGCGAGATCTTAAAAGAGTCATGCAATGACGATAAATATAGATGAGCTAATGAAAATCTTGAAAGGTCAAAAGGTGTGGTGACTTATAAATCCAACACCGTCTCTTTATATAAAAGCCAGAGCTTCAGTAGTCAAAAAATAGATCACAGTTATGAGATAACCCCGGGGTACAAGATAAAAACACAAAAAAAAATAAACAAATAATTATAAAAATATAAAAGAAACAAAAAAAAAATAAAGAAACAAAAATTATAAAGAAACAAAAATAATAAACAAAAAATAATAATAATAAACAATATATAAACAAAAAATAATAATAATAAGCGATATATAAACAAAAAAAAAATATAATAAAGAATATATAAACAAAAAAATAAACAAAAAATTAAAAAATGAACTAACAAAAGAAAATTAAAAAAAGGAAACGAAATAAAAAAATAAACAAAAATAAAATAAGTTTTAAATTAAAAATAATTAACAAAAACGAAATACAAAAAAAAAAATAATACCTAAAACAGGATTTAAAAAAAAATTAACAAAAAAAACAAATAAAAAAACATATAAATAAAAAAACAAATAAAAATAAAATAAAAAACATATGAATAAATAAAAAACAAATAAAAAACACATGAATAAAAACAAATAAATAAAAATTAAATTAACAAAACAAAATTGAAAAAAATCAAACAAAATTAAAAAAAGAAACAAACAAAAAAAAATTAAATAAAAACAAACAAAATTAAAAAAAAATTAAATAAAAACAAACAAAATTAAAAAAAAATTAAAAACAAAAAAAATTTTTTTTAAAATAAACAAAATTAAAATAAAAACAATTATAAGAAAAAATAAATATTAAAAAAAAATATATATGTAAACATATATAAAATAAAAGTAAAAAAAAAATATATACATATGTAAACATATATAAAATAAAAATAAAAAAATATATATATGTAAACATATATAAAATAAAAATAAAAAAATATATATATGTAAACATATATAAAATAAAAAAATATATTGAATTAAAAGCATACAAAATTAAAAAAAACTAGTATGCATAAAAATATTTTTTCAAAATATAAAACACAGAAGATAATTCCATTTGAAGATATTTTATATACATACATATGTTATGTATAAAAATATACGCAAATATGCCAAAAAATACAAAAATGTAAATGAAAATAATATACAAAAAAAAATTTTTTTCAATTATTTAAGTTAATAATTTCAATGCGAAATATATATATCTCGTGCTATATACATATGCTTTTATTTATTTAATCAATTCAAATACATATTATTTCAAAATGTACATATGTATGTATATGATACCATTTTTTTTATTATTTCAATTTTGTTTAAAACTAACGCACTTCCTGCGCAAGAAAACGCTTAACAAAGAATTTTTTCGATTTATGTAAAACTAAAAGTAATACTTAATCTGGAGAAAATGTAATGAGTATGAAAATACTTAAATATGTATGGGTCTATGAGATTATTTGCTCATTACTATTAACATATGTAACTGAAATGCGCATGCGCACTGCTATTACTTCTTTATCACCATTAGTACGCCTATATCATTTTCCAAATTCGTGATTTTATAACGGCAGCCTGCGGGGTAAGTGAACGTGTATGGTACATTAGTTAATGTTGTGTGCTAAACGTATTTGCGCATGCGCGTCTTACCTATATTAATAGCTACCATATCACCAACACCGAAATTGGCGCTTTCACGGTCCGTGCTGATTTCAAATGAACCCGCAAGCACAACAAAGTGCTGTAAAAGAAATGTTGGAAAATGGAATTTTTTAAATGGAAACACGTATGTATGTATATGTTTTCAAAATATTACCAAATGATATTTCTTCGCACGCTTCGAAGGCTTGCACTGCAGTGGCTTGAAGCGCAAATAGCCCAGAGTACATTTATGTTCCGTATCGTAGAAGGCATAATCTATACCCTCCAAATTGGTAAAAAATAATTTACCGGCAGTGGCTAGAAATAAAATAAAAACGAAACACAACAACAATTATATATCAGCTGTGGTATTATATATTGTATGGCACTTACAAGGTCGCAAATCCATAAAGACTTGTCGCTCATTTGTGGCCGATTGCAAATGTGATACATTCTTCAGCCATGCAAGCAACTCTTGGCGATCGTTTTCTGTCGTCCGAGTCGACTCACTGTTTGTTGCACTGGTCGAAGCAGAACTTTGAGCGGTTGCGGTGGAGGTGTCACGTGCTGTTAAACGACGCAAACGTACACGCACAGGTCGTATGCCAACGTTACCCTCGGTCGGTGTCGGGACACTCGATTCTGCAACATTCGGCGTACCCTCTTCATCGCTCAAATTGTTGGCGGCATTTTTTAATGCGTCAAACATTTCACTGAGCTTCTCTAACGATGGCGGTGGTGGCAAATACACTCGACTACACTCCAATTGGCCTGTGCGATTTGCGGTGTCATCGTCCGCCACTTGTTGTGCCGCTTCCACTGCGTCAGTTTCTTCTTGCTGTTGCTGTTGTTGTTGTTGTTTTATTTTAGAGACTGTCCCTGTCTTCCTTGGTCTGCCTAATTTTTTCACCCCCGCAGTTTGCTTATTGTTGGCTTTAGTTTTATTTTTATTCGATTTGCCGGTTTTGCAGGAGGAAGTAGTTGGTAATTCGTTGTCATTTGACGCTGGACTCGCTGCTGCAGCGTCTAGGCCATCCGTTTCTATGGGTGTTTCTTGAATTGCTTCTAACTGTGTACTCAACGCATCACTTTCGGTATTTCTTAGTGAGTACACAGTGCCCGATGTTACATTCGTATCGCCGAGATAACTAAACACTGGCGATTGTGGCTTCTGTGGTTTACGACCTCGCTTCTTCACATTGGCAATATTCAAGCCAGTGCTGGAGGCGACTGGCGTGGTCAAATCACCACCTCGACTCTCGATACTACAGCTGGAGCTTGTTCGATTTGTTTGTTTCTTTATACTTCTATTCGATGAGCTTGACTTCGTAGGTTTATTAAACAATGTCTCCAACAGTGAGTGTCCATTCCATTTAGAGTTGCGATTAGTTGGCACCTGACCGCGAGTCGATCGACGTATGCCTGTGTAGTGCAAAACAGAATTTAATTTTATGTATAAAAAAAGTTTACATAGAAGAACTTTATTTTTATCGGCCAGTTTGTATGACAGCTATATGCTATAATGATCCGATTTAAAAAAATTGTTGTAGCGTTACTGTGGACCATAATACATGCCCAATTTCGTGAAGATATCTTGTTAAAAAGTTTCCCATACAAGAAGACTGAAATGCCGTTATATTCAATGACCCTTTTTTAAATCTTCTTCACTTCACAGAGAAGTTCCAGTGTGTGTGTTTTTTTTTTTTGTTCAAGAGTTATAGCACACCATGTATACGAATTTTTACTTAAGTACTCATGGATAGACAGCTCGACGAATGGGCAGACAGACAAAATCGTTAGGTGAAGTAGAGAACTGTTATGCATTCTATACGATATATTTCGAGTGTATAAAAATCTGTGTGCCACTTACCTGCGCTGTCATCTGTACGCTCAGTTTGTGTCACATGGCTAGACTTGTTCGTTCTTGACTCTTGTGTCTTTCGTTTACGTGAAGCACGTGGCGCACGCTTTGTGGGCTTTTTAAAGAGTTCTTCATCGTGTTGGCATACAGCTTCTATGGCAGCGGTATTATTATGCGACGCGGATAATGTTTTAGGCTTTGCACCATTCACACTGCTATTAATTTGTTTATCGGAGAATGGCGTTGGTGGTAGAACCAATTGGTCCGCTGGCAAGTTTGGCAGCATAAATGTGGAAGCTGTCGTCCAATCAGTCACTGGCGGTGGTGGTGATGTTATTTGTATATCGCCTACCGGTGAAACAACTGGTGGTGGTGGTATTGGCTCCGTTAGCGTGGAAATTTTTAAAAAATCGTCTTTTTCACTATCTGAGGCGTCGCTATTTTCGTCAAAAGAATCACCTTTGGTGTATAGCGAACGTTTGGAGCTGCTATCCTTGCGGCGCATTTTAATACTTTCTTCTATTTGAAAATATTTTATTGTTACTTCTGGCTAAAATTATGCAAAATATTTTTTTATGTGAATACAAATATAAAATGGTAAATTCGGCTGCACCGAAGCTATAATACACTTCACATGTGCATTTGTTATGGAATAAAGGGTATAAAAAGTTTGTATTGTTTAATGCCAATTTCTGTAAAGATCTCGTCAAATACAAAATCTTTCCATACAAGAACTGGATTTTGATCGATCAGTTTGTATGGCAACTAACTATATGCTATAGTGATCCGAACTGAACAATTTCTTAGGAGATTGTACCGTTGCCTTGGACAATAGTCCATGCCAAAATGTAGATATCTTGTCAAATAAGAAAGTTTTCCATATGCTATAGCGGTCCAATATCGGCGGTTCCGAAATGAGCAACTTCTTTGGAAGAAAAAAACGTGTGAAATTTTCAAATCGATATTTTAAAAACTGTGGGACCATATTAGCGTATATATAGACTAACAGACGGACATGGCTAAATCGACGCAGTTCATCATACTGACCATTTTTGGTATATACATACATAGGGGAAACTTTGGTATACCATTCCACGATTTAACGGTTAAAATGGGTATGATTGGATAGAGGATATTCTCCAGACTAAGAATATATATAATTAAAGCCGCCGGAAACTTATACGTTTTCGAGATATTCTCATTATATGTTTCCGTTGTTGTTATAATTATTATAATATATATTCTTAATTTGGAGAACCTCCTGTAGTGTACACATTACTATTATATTGTGATTTCACTTACCAGTTCCGACTTTTTATTTCGTTGAGCCGACTTTCTCGCATTTTTAGTATTTTGAACATTGTTACGTTTGGCTGAAACAAACGTAACACGTTCACTACTTCTATCGTCAATTAATGAGGAATTATAACACATGCGTTGTGTCAATTGTGCGACCGTTTGCTGCATTATGTTTTCAGCTGAGGCATTAATATTAAATGCATCAGGTGCAGCAACGTTATCCTTAAATGGCTCAGGGACATCAGGCATAACAGTAGCCACACCATTATCCTCAGTTTCTAAAGCCGCGACAACAGCATCAACATTATTCTCAATTGCTTTAGCCGCAGCACCAGCAGTATTATCCGTTAATAGTGCCGGTGCTGCAGTTGAATTGTCCATGAAAGCAGCGGCTGCAACCGCAGTATTATCCTTAAATGCTGCAGGTGCTTGTGGCAGTTCATCAAAGATGATTTCTTTAACTACCTCAACTACTTCATTCACCAATTGCGATTCGCTCTCACTTCTCTGCTCTTGATTCATCTCATCGGCATACGTTTGCTGCTGCTGCTGCTCCTCCTCCTCCCGTAAACCCTGAGTGTTGCCCAATAATTCACGGCGCAAAATTTCCAATTGAATTTCTTCTTCAATTTTTAATTTCTCCTCCAAAGCCTGTTTCGTGCTACCTGATGATTTTTTCAAACGTTTACCATTCATTAAACCCATCGAATTACGTTTGCGCAAATCAAGAATTTCATGATTTGTTAAACGTGCCAAATGCGCTTTCAACTCATCGGCAAACAGTTCGCCATTTTTCGGTGTACTTGGTGCTTTATTTAAGGGTCGTCGTCGCCTTAATTGTTGTATTTTTATATGTTCGACAGGTTTGACATGTTGCAAATTCAGTGGATGCGCTGGTGGTGGTCCAGTTTCGGTATCCGTATCACTTGTGAGTAGTGTTGGTGGTGACGCGAAAGGTTTGGTGGATCGATGGTGAAGACGCGTTCTCATTGTGCGTTTTATTGTCCGTCTATTACGCTTCGTCTTCTGCGGTTTTTCAGTGGCTAGATTAAGCGGACCACTTTTACGTAAGGTTTGCCTTTTATTCACATTGTAATTAATATCTTCCTCCTCATCTTCATCGTCCGTTATAAGCATCGATATTGACATCTCTGTAAGTCCACGTTTAGTGTTGGCTTCTTTATTAGCAGTTACAGTGCCAACTTCTTCTCTGTTTTTTAATGTTGTGCATTTGGAGACATCATGCTTGACGAATGTCTGTGTTTTAACTAAATTGGCTTCCAAGTTTTTATTATTGTTTAACGTTGTATGAGCTGAGCGATTAGCTGAACGTTTATTGTCAGCATTTAGTAATATCGAATTGGCTCCTGACAGGTTTGTTTTGTTGTTGTCGGCAGCAACTTTTCGGTTACCGACCGGTGTTGTTACATTCTTATGTTGTACTGAGTTTGTCGGTAGATTAGTATTTCTTGTGTTGTTGCACGTAAACGTTGGATGATTTATAAAATTATTGGGACTATTGCAACTGCTGGCATCATTCAAATTTGCCGCTGTTATTGTATGCTGCCTTGTACAATTCGAATGCGTGAATGCGGTTTTATGATCGGCCTGCGTCTCGGATTGTGTTACTTTAGCGTCCTCACATTCATGATTTGTTTCTTTTTCACCAATCTGTTTGTTTGCTGCTGCTGCAGCTGTGGGCGCATTGTTAAAAGTCTGATTGACTGGTATAACTATTTTCGGCATTTGTAAATTTGAGTTCTTTAAATCAGCAAGTGTCTTTTGCACTTCCTGCAACAAAGCCTCAGTAGCAAGCACTTTACTTTTATCTACAACATTACCAGTTGATGCCTGAACAAGTGCTTGTTGTTGTAATTGTTCCTGTGTTTGCGGCAACTCTGTGGTATTTATATCCGACTCCGCTGTAATGATTCGTGTGTGTGGAGGATTTTCGAAACTTTTCAGTTTATTTATTGTATCTTCTAGTGCTTCAACCAGATTTTGTAGTAATGGCTGTTCTTGTACAGCATTATGTTTTGTGTGTTGCGATGCCTCTTTACTCGGAATGCATGCATTTATTTCAGGTGTTTTTGGGCGCGGTGATGTTTTTGGCTCATTTAGTGAATTATTTATCCGTGGAGGTGTTTTTAATAAATTTACAGGAGGTGTATGATGCATTGGAGTACTGCATATTGCTGGCGACTAAAAAGGTGAATTTAAAAAAAAAATCGGTTTAGTTTAAAAATTTACCGTTATGGTGTTGGGTTACGGGTAGTCAGAATTTGCCAAATTTCTTTTTTATTTAAATTTCCTTAAAGTAAAATTTGAAGTAAATCTGACAAATATGTTTTGAATTATTCGATAATAGACATTATTTTTAAAATACTAATTACTTTTATAAAAGTTATTTACAAAAAAAAAATTTAAAAAATTGTGATTTTTTCTGACTACACCTAATACTTACAAAATTTGTTGAGCAAAGTGTACTTTCGAATTCCGAAAGTAAAGTTCGTCGACCGTTGTTCTCAAGATTTGTGATACGTTTTAACACTTGACGACGCAGTCGATCGCCACTACGAGACACCTTTGAAATTGGCGATCGCGGTGTTTGTGGTATAATAGGCCGTGATATTTTTGGTTGTAGAAATGTGCATAACGACCTAGGGCTAACTGCTTGTTGTTGTTGTTGCGTTTCCTGCGCACCGTTGGGTTCTTCCAATCGCTTTGGGGAAACTGATTCTGGGCACATTGGCAATGGTAGTTGTTCCATTCGATTTTGTTCAGCTATGATTGAGGCCTGCACAGCTTCTGCTATTTTCGATGTACTTCCTACTTTAGATCCTAATATACATTGCTCTGTTCGTGATTTCACAGATGATATTGTCATGCTTTTATTTTCAGGACAAGTTATATTGTTACCCATTGGTATCATAACTAGTACAGAAGCATGACAAGTCCCTTTTTTTTGCTGCGTATTATTTAATGATTCATTTACTGATGATGCCAGTGTTTGCGCATCATTTTTTACTTGTGCAACCTTCAGCTGAAATATTTCTTGTTCAGGAAGCAATACAGCCTCCTGTTCTTTATTTTGCACATCTTTCTCATTATCGGTTTCCTGGGTTTCTGGTATAACGCATTCATTTTCAACATCGGTTACTGGAACTGGTGGTGAACTTAAGCGCTTCAGACGTACATTTAAGCTAAACCTCTGTGGTTCAGCATCGAAAATTCGTTTAGCACCATTACGCACCGTACCACTTTTTTTCTGCAAAAACTGTGCCAAACGGTGGCCATCAGTATCGTCAAGATATTCAGAGAATTCGCTTAAATTAAAGCAATCGGAAGTCCTGCAGAAAGACCACATAATTTAATACTCATTCAATTTAACATAGAAATTTGATATATATTAAAATTCGATTAAAAACAATAAAAAGTCGAGCAACACAAAATTCACATACATATTTTCTTCACGAAACATTCACGACTACAAAACAATTTGTAAATTCCTTTGCATTCACATCACGTTTGCCAAAATTAAACTAACTCGTATTAAAAACTTATACAGCTTACAGAGCACTTACATATCATTAAACCAATATAAAATTTCTTTATCAAATCCAATTTTTGTTGAAATAAAATATTATGTATTTGATTCGCTGAAGCTTGTGTTTGGCCTCCACAGAGCCGTTACTGCGCCATTTTTCGAAATGTTTAGATGTTGCCACTGTCTGTAAATGCTACGAAATGCAAGGCATACACAACAGTATTTTCTCTATAGATTTAATAATTCCTTTTCAAGTAATTAACATTGATTAATAATGTTTATATAATATTTTATTAATTTATATAATAATTCATTTGTATGAACAGTTTTTAGTGCGTACCTGCTTTAATTAAAGCGAATGTATAAATTATTGGCAACGCTTGGATGAATTCGGCTTGTACTGTGCATGAAACACAGCTAGTACGTAGTTAACCCATTTGAGAAACATTGGCGGTAAGCAAAAATTGAACGTGTAAGTAAATTTCAAATATTTTAATCTTATGATAAATAATTTAACGTAAAATAATTTTAACTATTTTAATATTTTCTACGACATTTAGTATTTTTAGCGATTGGTATTGGAAAACAAATTTTAATCCCAAGGATTTAATTAAGAATTAAACAAAAATTGTTTCAGAATTAACATTTTTTCGCGTTTGCGTACTTAGTGTTCTACCATATAATTAAAATTATAATTCTATACAATCTAAAATTTAAATTAAAAATCGAATCACAAAATAAAATAATACTTAAAAACAGTTTAACGATGGTTACGCGAAATACCCTCAGGTGCCCAAACTGTCATCCCAGCTTGAATAACAATAAATAATTTGCTGAAGCATCATGACGCTCGTGCTCAACGAATTTAATATTTCCTCGGATCCTCTTCTAGGGAATGGATAAATAGGGGTTACATCAGTTTCGCACCATCTTTTTTCTTCCGATTCCATATATTCTTAATTTCGATTCCATATATTTAAGCGATGATTTCGGCTATTTTTTAATGAATTCACGCACAATTTCCGTGTTTTTTTCGTTCACAACATCTTTTGGCCGGCCCGAACGTTCGTCGTCTTCCAAGTCCTCCCGTCCCTCTTGAAAACGTTTAAGCCACTCGTGAATACGGCTACGGGATAGACAATCATCGCCATAAACTTGTTTCATCATTTGACGAGTGTTGGTAAAAGTTTTACCAAGTTTAAAACAAAACTTAATGTTGGCTCTTTGTTTTGTTAACAATTTCAGACAGATGGCGCCACTAGAAGCCGCGTTGTTTAAAAAGTCCTGGAACTTATGAATTGTACCTTGTACATATGTGCAATATTAAATTAGGTACATTCGTCAACCAACATTTCCACGATTGAGACTATACTCTATAAATGTACATATGTAAATACTCGTACACACTTATATGTATTCTTGGAGACTCCTAGTGTCAATACCAGACCAAGAACGTCAAGTAGATAATTTACAAATGCAGTTATCATCTGCTCAACTTTGTAAAATATTGCATCTTATTGTTTATCAGTACACCGTGTTGTTACTTAGTATTTTATGTATATTTTATCATTTAGTAATAAGACTTTTATGTGACAGCTATTTTTGTTAAGTGTGACATACATATACCTACATATATATAACACACAATAATATAGAAAGAAACAACAAACAATCATTTCGTTCTAGTTACAAGTGCTGATTAGCTAGCATTAATGCTGCCGACCGATCGCTCAAAGTGATAAGTCACAGTTACTTCGTTTGTCATTGTTCATGAGCGTCTGAACTGCCCAGTAAAGATTTGATTCGGTTCTAGGTGCGTAATACTTGAAGTAATAAACTTTTAAGGGCAGGAAGACCCGTATTCTAGTCTTTGCTTAAATATAAAAACTACGGAGGCAGAGATCCTGCTTCTGGTAAATACGAAAATTTGCGAAGGCTGACTACGTAAAGACGGCAACAAAAAAAACTTTCCGAAAAAAATAAAAAAAAGTCCTCTACACTGTCTACAAAACTATGTTCATAGAAAGAATGCAAAAAAATATTTTTATGTGCTTTCTGGGTTGTATCAAATAAATAATGGAGTAATAAAAATATAATAGTATAGACTCACGTGGCAGACATTCGAATATAAAACGTGAGTAGAAAGAAAATAAATGTTTGTTATATTTTTAATCAAGAGGAAAATCTATTCAATTTGCTGACAATGAAATACTATTATTTTGCAGTCATAAACACATATAGGAAATAAATAAGAGCTTATGCATATATGTACATACTTACATATTATTTGGAGATCAGTACTTGAACATCTCAAGTGGCTTGGTTTTGAGTTTGTACTGTCGTACCAGACTATTGGTTCATCAATTTAATTTTCCAAGATTGTGAAACCCAACCGCCATAACTATTTAGACTCGTATTTTATTCTTGCTGGCGCTGCAATCCATACCGCCTCGTTGTTTGGGTTCAATATACATACATAAGTAGGTAGCTCGCCAGTGGTTTGCCCAAGTTCCTTTCGAGTTTAAGAAGCAGATAAGTCCTTTATTTTCCACTGTACTAGCCGCTCTGAGATTGAATTAACAATTACAAAGCTAGTTAGTTTCTAGACAGCTCCGAAGACGGCTTTTACTAATTGTATTATCGATCTCTTATATGTACATATACATTTCGTGATCCATAAATGTAATGATTACGTTCGAACTTTAGTTTTGGTTCAGTCGTTCTTTTCCTGCTTTAGTCTTACGTATATACTACTAAGTACCACCATGCGATGTTCTGTTTTTTATTGGCATTAAATTAAAAAGCATTAACTTCGTCTAAAGGCAGTAAGTGATATGGCTACCGTGAAACAAAAATAGAGGCTTAAGTTTTCTAAACATGTGCTTTCCAATGCAGAGGAAGCTTTCCATTTTAAGCAATGTTCGGACGTCAAATCTGTTCACTATATCTATTGCAAGCCATACACATCTACAAAACTCTAAAAGTATTTTCAAATTTCGGCAGGTAATGCTGATTCTCCGTGCATATTTCTGCTATGAGCTTTCTCAAATCCAACAGCTGATCGTAGAAATTTAAAATATTGTGAAATCGTTTTTGTGAATCGTTTTTCAAATACCATGAATACCACAATTATATAAATAGAGCAAATATCGAAACGTCCGACTTTAATCAACATCAATTTTAAAATCTAAGTTAGATGTCCATACCTTTTTTAAAGTTTTGGTTTCCCGTCTTTTTATATTCCTTGCCTTATCCTTTTTAATCTTGATTAACCTTAACTTGAGAGTTAATATATTCGCATATGAAAAAGGTACCTCTAGTACATGTTCCGATTGAGATCTGTGTTCTACTAAGTAAAGTAGTACAGTCAGAGTTTGTCCTTCTAGCTTACTTATTTCGTTGGTGCAAATAGTTTTTAGAATAAAAATCATTCACTTTACTTTATTGGTCTGCAGGAAGAGTTCGCATTTTAAATTTTCGCCATGAATAAAACTGTTTACCTTACTGTTTATCTTATCACACCGATCAATATACACATTGCTCGTGTATATAGATAAACTACTTACATACCTTTGTACATATGTATGTATGTATGTCTGGCATTATATTTGTCTTTTCTGCATGGGAGCGACCGTTGGGAAATTTCGTTGTTTATTTGAACCTCATTTCATTCCAGATCGACTTATTCAAGCTCAAGGTTTCGAATCTCGCGCATTCGCTCACGTTGCCCAGCACTCTTTTGAGTTTGCTTAGTGTTTTTGCTGTTTGTGTCACGTTTAATCAGCGGATGTTTCCTGTGCACTCCGATCCATGTGGGTCTACAGTTAGTCACTGTCGGTCGACAATCGATTGCGAAACAACGGTGTGCATATTTAATGTCGATCGCTGTGTGTGCGCACGCTGTTTTGGTGCATAAATTTGACCGTTCAACCCATCGGTTTGCACTTTTATTTACTTTACACTATTCGCATATTATATGGGTAAATACATCTGTATATATTATTAATATTTTATACCCTAGCATAATACGTTTAACAAGGGTATAATAGTTTGGTTGTTTTTTGTTGACAGCCTAACGAAAATGTGGTGAGGTGTAACGAAATAACCAGTAAGGAAACGGAATGGATTGAACTACGCAAGTCTCTCCCTCCATCTATCCGTTAATACCTTATAACAATTTTAGTCAAAAAGAAAGCTTAAAGAAACTCGGTATATACGCACCCCTGTAAAAATATTTGGGTGTATAATTAGGTTAAGTTAGTGCCCAGTACTAGTTTGTCTTGACGTCCCTTATAATAAACATATGTAAATAATATAAAAGAAAGGCAGTTATGGAAGAGAAAGTTATGCGCAGACCGTGGCACTTAGCAGAAAATACTATCATCGATGCTTTCATCCAACGGATGGTTCAAACGTGGTCTCAAAAAATGCTCTGCTAACCACTGAGTAGTACAAATCAACCAGATTACTCCCTTTAGAGCCGTACCGTATGAGAAAATTTGAGCGAACTCCAAGTGATCTTGCTCTCCATGCTACCAAAATTAAGTCACTAGACAGTCCTGATAGCCGAACATACTACCAATTCAGTTTCCATACTGATCTGGATCTAAATGCCTGAACACTTTCTCAGCAAATAAACCTACAAGCTCAATGTTGCGAATAGTGGAGATCACACAATTAATATAATATTTATCCGTCCATCTGTTCAAATAATCTCCACACCCTCAAGAATTCCACGTACATCGGGAAATTGACTACCCTGTTAGGAACTTTTAGCTTAGATTAGGACAGGTGACAGTTTAGTTCATCATTAATTCAAACAAGCTGGAGATTCACTTTCACTAAAGTAATTTTGGTTACAAAACATAGTAATGTGTTGAGAAACTCTAGTGCATATAAGCTTACTTGGAGTTAGAAGGACTTGGACGGATCTTTTGTGGTTTACTATTGCGGCGGTGTAGATTATCGTTAGTATTATTCGGGAGTTTGTAGGGTTACGTAAGTCTTCTAGTCACAACTATAATAGAAGCGACCATGTGAGCTCTTAAAGCTAATAACATTGCGACTCTCAGTTTTTTTGTTTGGGTTTTAACTGCGTATAGTCTGGGTACTAAGAATGGTACCTTGGAGTTGAACTCGATCGTTGTTAAATACTTGAGCGGATCATTTGTAATTTTTCCTTAAACAGGCAAGCTTTCTAGACATCAGCGGATATACATACATATGTAGTTCAAGAGCTTTTTTTTATTCTTCTAGCCAATACAAAAAGAGTGAAAGCGAGCTCTTCAAGTTAATCAAGCCGCATATCTGTTTTCAACTTTTCAGTCCCTTTAGAACTGAGAAGCTATATCAAAAGTCTTCGGCGCTTTCAATTCTCTTCACCCACGAACCCGGATTTTATAACGCGAAGCTCAATGAAACCGTTCTGTAAATAGGCACGCTAGTTCATGTTGTCCGGATGGATGAGAATATTAAAGTTTTGAAAGTATTCGATGTATTACCCGGCAGTGGAAGCAGCGGAACAGGAAGACCTCCAATCTGTTGGAGACATCAGGCGGAGTAGGACGTGGAGGCACTTGGTATCTCCAATTTCCGCCAAATAGTTGGTATTGTACCCTCGGTACTAGGAGGGCGCTCTCTACATATTTTGGCATTCCGCTCGAAAACAGCGCTATCTTACTTCTCTTGGGGATTTCTTAGATTTTCTCGCGCATTAATTGCCATTACTTGGCTTTCTTTCTTTTCTAAACAGTCTTATACTTAAATGAACAAGCTTACATACTTACATATATATGTTCACATGCGCATATAATGAGCAATACTTTAAGTTTTTATGTGGTGAAAATTTGCCATTGGCTTTTGCTTCCGCGCACGAAGCGTTGCAATTGATTTGGGCTGGCCGGTTGCGAAATTCCAACTGTCACGTGTTTGAGACTTGTGACTCCCAATATACATATGTACATATAACAATTTCTACTGCATTTCGGCGCCCGGTATCACTATCTGATTTATTTATTTGTTATATTTTACGTACACTACATATTTATGCATGTTTGTGTGTATGTATATAATCTCTAACGTCTGGTGTGCACATCACGAGTGTCTTTTATTGTTTTGCCTTACTTTTGATTTGAATTAAAACTTTCATGACAATGTGCAATTCACATTTGCACATGTATGTATATATAATATACTTCGTGCATATATTTTGTAACGACAACGACACCCGGTGTAAATAAGTGGGAAGCAGTGGCCAGTACACGTGAGTGCCCATATAAGTGGTGAGTTTATTGATCCCGCGTTATGATGTTGTATGCAAACAGTATGAGCTACATACATACATATGTACATACATATATTTGCGAGCATAACGATCGCGACGTTCTCAATTGAGTATTCATATAAGCATAGCTAGTATAGTATACATACAACAACTCAGGTTATATAATGCCTAACGAATATAAGTTGTTATTGTATTTGCTTTGAGCCAGCGCAGACTACTCTTAGTTGAGTTGCAAATTTTTGTGCTACATTGAAGATCTAATGAAAAGAGAGCGCTATTTGCGAACTCAATTATGTGCTCATTATTGCATATTTATTCTACACAGCTTGTAACCGTACACTGTGGGTATATAATCATACTCTGTCCAGTATTTCAAAATATTTTTGTTTCGCTTGAAATACACTCACATATTTATACTCTCGCAACCTGTTGCTACAGAGTATAATAGTTTTGTTCACCTAACGGTTGATTGTATCACCTAAAACTAATCGAGGTAGATATAGGGTTATATATATATAAATGATCAGGATGAAGAGACGAGTTGAAATCCGGGTGACTGTCTGTCCGTCCGTCCGTCTGTCCGTCCGTCCGTCCGTGCAAGCTCTAACTTGAGTAAAAATTGAGATATCTTTATGAAACTTGGTAGACATGTTTCTTGGTACCGTAAGATGGTTGGTATTGCAGATGGGCGTAATCGGACCACTGCCACGCCCACAAAACGCCATTAATCAAAAACAAATAACTTGCCATAACTAAGCTCCGCAATAAGATATAAGACTGTTATTTGGTACACAGGATCACATTAGGGAGGGGCATCTGCAGTTAAAACTTTTGTTTAAAAAGTGGGCGTGGTCCCGCCTCTAATAGGTTTAATGTGCATATCTCCTAAACCGCTAATGCTATAATAACAAAATTCACTCACTGGAAGCAAATGTTTTTAGCACTTCTATTGACGTTGTGAAAATAGTTGAAATCGGGTGGCAACTCCGCCCACTCCCCATATAACGGTACTGTTAAAAACTACTAAAAGCGCGATAAATCAAGCACTAAACACGCTAGAGACATTAAATTTTATCTCTGAGATGGTATAAGATGACTTTATAGGAACCGCGTTCAAAATTAGACAGTGGGCGTGGCACAGCCCACTTTTAGGTGAAAACCCATAACTTGAGATCTGCTCAACCGATTTCAATTAAATTCGGTGCATAACGTTCTTCTCATGTTTCTATGTCATAGTGCGAAAATGGGCGAAATCGGACTACAACCACGCTTACTTCCCATGTAACACCATTTTCAATTCCATCTGATTCTTTCACTTTCCACTATGCAAATCAGGTAACAATGATTATATCGGGGTAAAACTTTGCGTGAATAATGCAATTAAAGTATGCCACCTTGCGGCCAAAAATTGTCTAAATCGAAAAAAACTGTTCAAGCCTCTAAGTACTAAATATGTTGGCCCCAGTGCCTATAGTTGACCTTCTACCGAAAATATCAGTCAATCCACAAAGAAATCTCAAACGAGTATACCATTTGACTTTGCGAGAGTATAAAATGTTCGGTTACATCCGAACTTAGCCCTTCCTTACTTGTTTAATTTTAGGTTGGTAGCTACAATTTTCACTGGCCTAAGCGCATTTGTTAACTTCTTCAATTGTTCCGATTCATACAAGTATATTGCTTGATCCCGTATCATAGAAATGATCGATAGAAATTACATCGTTACGTTTCGATTGATGCAATCGTGTCGGTAGAGGATTATTTTAAAAGTCTTCTCGTATCATGTAGCTTTTACTTGGATTTAGATTTTACCATGAACGGGCTCTGAGCTCATCTTGCATCAAGGCGTACTCTAGTAGTCGTTAGAAATGTGGTGAACTTGGCATAAACTTGCAATGAATACTGTTTATCTGTTAATTTTTATGATATTAATTCAACCGATCATAGTGTTCCAGGAACCTACGGCACTTAAGCAGAAATCGGCCAGTAGTGTCTTGTTTTTCTATCAGTATATGTCGGTAAGCCACGCTTATTACGCCAACTCATCAAGCCTTTTTATCGTCTAAGTCATTACAACATTTTAGGAAGACACTAGCCAATAGAACTTTTCTTCTTAAATGTCTCTAAAAGTAAAAAGGCAAAAAATAGTTTAAGGGAGTCAAATCACCTGCTCTAGTTAGCCAATTACACGACTGATATGCATGTGGGCAACCAAGAAACCCTGAATTATTTGACTGTAGTGCCCACCATTACTCCATCGTCAGCTTTAGCAAGGTAAGGACAAATGATGCATGTGAAATACACCGAATAGTATCCATTATTGGATCCAAGGGCGCTTGCAGAATCGCTCCAAATACGATTTTGTGCATATTTACAAACCTATAAAGTTAGATTTGCTTCAGCGCTGGAAATGATTTGACAGTAAAAATATCTTTGTAAGTATGCAAAACCGAGCGGGACTTTTGGAAATAAATTTCAATCACTTTTAAGCGTTAATCCGTTCTAAATAAGTATTTACGTTGAAATGTGTCAAATTATGTGTTTACTTTAGCAGCTGATTTGACAGCTATACCACTAGGAAATTGCATTCAAACACTAAGCTGACTTTTGGTGGAATTGAGGTTATTATATTTTAATTTCGGAGATTGTGCTCACATTAATATCTGTTAACTTCATCCTCCATATTTCCTACTTGGTTGTGTTAGTTTTTCTACAACCGTCGATTTTTTTTCTTTCCACAAACACAAAATATTCCGTCTTACACTCGTTTTACCTCAGCCATTTTTCACACGCTCTTCAGATCTATGCTTGTATTCAAGATCAACGTCTGCTGTCATGTTACTATGTACATACGTATCTACTACTTTGTTAATATGTATGTCTGTAGTTGAGGTTGGGGCTTTGTAGACAAGAAACAACCAGAGAACTTAGAACAACTCTGAAGAACAACAAGTTCTCTGAAACAACAACGTCTATGTAGCTTTTATTTGTTCGTCTTATTTAATTTTTTTTTAATTTGGATTTGGAATACTTTAAGGTGTTTGATGCAAATTTATTTGGTTATACGGTACAGGGTGGCTCACGACTCGTGTTACAAAAATAAACCGTAATAACTTTTTTTCTGTGTGAGTAATCGACCACCTTTTTTTCTTGTTTGGTAGGTTAGCTATTGTTTACATTTTTTAAAAATGAATTCTTGGAATACCGATAAGAGAGTTTGGATAGTACAATGATGATTTATTACCGTCAATTCTGTCCAAAGTGAAGTCAGACGGGATTATGGCGGCAAATGGACCATTATGATGTTGGTAAACTTGTTTGCCGAAACTGGAAGTATCGCAAGAAGACCGTACCATTGAGATCCGTATGTTCGTGTGCACGCAACTAATCGGCGCAACTTGGAGTTAGCAGACAATCATTACAACAGATAATTCATGATGACTTTTTTTTTGCCAAAAAATTATTGAAATGGCCGAAGAAGACAATGACTTGATAAATACCTTTTTTTACCGTATATGGAGTGAATCATAACCAGAAATAATCCCCCAGACGGTACTTCACCCAGAACGAGCCACTATGTGGTGCGCAGTTTCATCAAGGTGTATTGTCGGACTTTATTGAAGGAAACGGAAAAGTAATTGTCAATGGGCACCGTTATTTAAAGGTTTTGAATGAGTTTTAATACCCAGAACTGCTCTGAAGACGTATTTCTTTCAATAGCGTTTGGTTCCAGCGAGATGGAGCAACTGCACACATAACCAGACCGTTATTGTGGAGCTTCAATGAAAATTTGAAAAGAAATTAATATCAGGAAAGTCCACTTTCCGCTGGTCCCCAAGGTCACCTGACCAGGCACCTAATTTTTTTTATGGGTTTATGTCAAGCAAGAGGTATACAAAACAAAACCCAGAAATTTGACTGAATTGAAGCAATCCATTAAATCGACAATTGAGTCAATCACGACTTTAACCCTTCAGGCCGCAATGAATAATTTTCTAATTCGGTATCGCATATGCGTGTCTGAGCATGGAGGTCATTTACGGTCAATAATTTTTAAAAATAATTAATTATATAAATTAAAATAAAAATTTCTATTTAGTCACAAAAAATAAAAGTAATGCATTGATGAAATAAAATTTATTACTGTTTGTTTTTATAGCACGATTCGTGAGCCACCCTGTAGATGCGACTGTTGTTGGTTGCTTTGTGATCGCTACACGTGCTGCCGATTGCGACATACATACCTACATACATACGATATATATGTATATGTACTATATATATAGATACATGATGAATATATGCATAACTAAAGTAGTGCCAAGCGAAAAGGCAAAGTATGCATGTATGCGTGTGTGTTTGTGGGTACAAGAAATTAAACAACTAGTCCATAGTAGTACAACAATAATAATATTATAATAAAGTGATCTGTACTGAATGGTGTTTGTATGTTTGCTTACTTCGGTTTGACACCAATCAAACAAGAACAACACATACACACATCTAACGATGCTGCACAGAAATCGTTTAAGTCGTACAACTAAGACAGCATAGAAAGAAAAAAATTGGAAAATAAATAAAAAAAATATGCCAACTGTCTGCGATTGCGACTTTTTTTCACTATGCATAATTCGGTTTGCACATGAGATGCCTTTTCTGACTGGTTTTTTCACCGTCCATGATTTCGCTTGCTTGTGTTTTTGGTTTCTTTCGATTTTTGCAAGTTTTGTTTTTGGTTCAAAGCAAGCATAGCGGGTATGGCGTATATGCCGTCAGGCACATAATGCGCCGTCCCACTCTTTATATACTCGGCAACTTTGCGATCACAGCGGTAAATTCGAGAATGTGTTACATATTGTCTTCGCAAATGCCGACAGCGTTTACAGTAGGCGAATTTCTTTACTTAACTTTCGATGTAGGAAGTTCAAATATTTATAGAACATCCTAAATATATTTAGAACACGTGTTGGACTGTATTGATCAACAAACGTCAGTTCTCTGAAAAGTCATCCCCGACGGCTTGACTCCTGCTGAGTTAGTACCATTCTGTGGATATCCAGAATACGGCCGTTGAAAATTTTAACGATGCACCTATTAAATATGATCAATCATACAAAATTATAACTCACTTAAATGTTCGGGGCCCAATCCATAATAAACGATATTTACGTCCCGATAAAAATATTTTCTTCCACGCTGCCATGACTTTCTTCTCTAATAAACTATTAAATACCAACGCGTCTGTCTGGAAACATTATTGTTGTTATAATAAAATAATAAAAAAGTTTAACTTCGATTGCACCGAAGCTATAATATACTTATGTATACAAATACAAAAGATGCTTTTACAAGAACTTTGAGTGGCCAGTTTGTATGACAGCTACTTATATTCTATATTGATCCGATCTAAACACTTTTTTCGGAGATAGCACCGTTGCCTAGCTAGCCATGCCGAGTTTGGTCTTGTCAAATGCAGAAGTTTTCCATACAAGCATTTTATTCCGATCGTTCAGTTTGTATGGCAGTTACATATGTATATATTAAAGTGGTCCAACATTGGCCGTACTGGCAGCAGCTTCTTGAAGAGAAAAAGGCGGATGCAAAATCAAAACGATATCTCAAAAGCTGAGGGACCAGTTTGCATATATGCAGACAAACGGCAGATAAAGGGGCAGACGGACATCGCTTAATCGTCTTAGCTCGTCAGGCTATGTATATACTTTATATGGACTCTGGCATTTCTTTTTGGTTGTTATAAACATCGTGGCAAACTTAAAATACCCTGTTCAGGGTATAAATTATACAAGTGAAGAAATTGTGGCTCGAGGATGCAAATAGAAACCGGAATCCATAAATAATAGTATTACAAAAAAAATTTAAAGAATGAAAAACTGTGTTATTTTCCTACAAAAAAGTGTAAGTTGGAAAAAAATTCAGGATCCAGGAATATTAGTTATGGAGTAGGTGAAAAACTCGACTAATTTGCTCGAAGGAATGATTTATATATAAGTTTCCACTTACGCTTGCTTAAAGTTCAATCCGATAGGAAAATTCCATTAATATACCAAGCAATAGATCGTTTGGATCTGACTGGAACTGAAAACTCAAACTCTCGGCGAAACCTTTTATAATTAACTTAAAGATTTAATAATCTCTTTTTCTAATCATGCTTTTTGGAAAGTTACAGAGAGAAAGAGAAATAGAGGGAGAGTAAAGCGTAAAAAATGGTCAAGTGGAGACTGAAAAATTTTAAACATGGTGTTTTTAAAGTTAAAAACAGAGAGAGAGAGAGTGAAAGTATATTATAATATAAGAAAATACCGGAAATTTCACTTCTAATGTCATGTTTCATATTTCATGTGATTTATTTTCTTAAAAAGGTGATATATTTTATATATATTATTATGAAACATGACATTAGTGTATGTATATTTTTAAAAGCCACTCTTAGAAAATTTTGCTGTTTTAGATTCTCGCTTAATTTATGAAGGAGTAAGGGGAGTGACTGGGCAGTAGAAACGACGTTCTGACTCAGAGTTATGTTTTAAATGCGAGTCGTAACATAACGAAATATTCTTGACATTGAAAAATTAAAGCTTATGAAACTTTTTGTTTTGCATACTAATTATTCTATTTCATTCTCCAGCTCAGTAGTTTGAGCTCCGTCTAATACTTAGTATGTGTTATGCGTGTTATCGTTTACCATACTGAAGTTGGAGAAAAATTCGTTTCGTAAAATACATTTAGTTATGTGTTAGCTTTCAATTTTGCCAGATATGTAGCAAAAGCAGCAATGCCTGAATACTTCGTATTAGGGCACATGTTGGCATATTCGCTACTACGACGGCCACATGTTGTGCATCGTGTTGCAGTCACCATTTGCTGTAAAACGTTGTGCTCGCTGTTGCAAGTTACATGCTTTATTGCCACACACACACACACACGTTTTACCGCACTATATTTAGACACGTTGGCTTTGGACATTCGTTATTTAGCTTTTGACATCGTGGTTACCTCACCCGCCTTCACTTTGAATGAATTCATAGGGGGTTGCTGTGCTGTGCTGCAAAGCAATTAATGCGATGCGTGCTGACCATGCGAACACTTTTGAGGTGTTGCAAACATATGTGTATGTTTTTATAAGTATGCTGGTGCAAATATGACCTCAAATATGCCAATAAGCCAAGTAAAAAAGTTTATTCGACTTTTGTTGGCGATGTCTCATGTTGTGGCGATTACTTGAATAAAAGTGTAATAAATTCATTGAGTTTGACATTTTAGTAATATAAAAAAGATAACAATAAAATAATCGAATCAAAAAATGTACGACATACTTATTTATTAGCACTCAAAAAAGTTGTATCGACATTTCGTCAGTTCTGCTAAAAATAGTCTGAAACAACAAATATCAAGTCGTGGCTAATGCAATCAATCGATGGATTCTGCTTTAGGAATCTTCCGAGGAACAAATTCAAATTTATTGAAGACGTTTTTTTCGAAAGGTCATCAAAGTGAAGTCATAAAAAGTTACACTAACTATCAAAAGTGATCTCTAGTTTGAATTTTAGTCTTACGTGGCTGACACAACTTCCCAGTTGGGTGTTTCAAAGATTGTTAGAAAATAAGAAGAGTATATAAAAAACGAAGCTTACAGTTTTGCTATTTGTTTGACTGTGGCACTTCAAACAGGCTACTATCGATTTTTAAAATTTTTCCATATAAAGAACAACCTACAAGGTTTGAGCTTGTCTGTAATAAATAAAATGAGTTCTTGGCGCTTGGATTCGTGCTCACAATTCAAGGTTGTGAAGATAATTCAACGATAAACAAGTCTTTTTTTTAAATAAGTTAAAATTTATATATTTTTTGTCAGTCCGGGTCAGTTTTTATCAGATGGAAAACTCAACTCAATCGCATATCTGTTGACTTTAATCTTATGCTCTCAAATCTATCTAATTATTACTGTAAAAAATGTTACCGCTACTGAAAAAAAAATATATAAAATTACTTTAATTTACATCCTCTTATGTAAAACAGAGCTGATATCTGCTTCAGCTTCACTTCAAAGCCGCGCAAAGTTACATAATATCGAAATCAAGCGAATAAATATCTGGCGTCAATATATGTACATATTTAGCGCCCTCTTACAATGTAACTGTTGTTGTTTGTTGTGTTTGCTACTGTTTTTATTATTTTTATTTTTATTTTTATTTCCGTTTACAATCGTATAATTACGCTAAGCCTTAACTAAAATTAATTGCTCGCACATACATACATATAACGGCAATAAAAAGATATTCGCCAACAATTTAATTCATTCAGAAAACACACTGTAACCAAAAAGTGTGCGTGTGTGTGTGTGATTGTGTTTATATTTTCTTCTTCTTCTGTTTTTGTGTTTTTTGTAAGCGCTCGTGTGCACCAACATGCATAAATATTTCGCGTTCACATTAAAATTCGTACACACAACAAATACTTTGTCACGCACGCAAACACATACATATTGTATATCCATTCATACTAGGGTATATGTATGTATGTATGTGTGTGCGGGTGTATGTGTAAACACGCTTTAAGGTCAAGGTATAGGTGCGGTTGGTGAAATGGTTTACACGTGCGACTAAACGGACATTACACTTCTGCCAAATTCGTTAAATGTGTGTGTGTGTGAGTATGAGTGTGACGGTGTTTGATGGTGTTGGGGGAGTATCTAAATATGTAAGTGTGTATGTATGTATGAGCGCGTCAGCATTGCGAAAAGAGGCTCACAAGCGACCAGAATAAAATGGAATGAAATGAAAAGCGTATTAAACAAATGTCCACACACGCATGCATACATACATACATACATACATACGTACTTGCGTTCCGCTAGGCACATTAACACTATAACATACACCGTACTCGGGGTGGTTTGTTTCGGAAACGGTGCACCGAGAGAGTACTACACTTTTGTCCCGCGCCAGGGTGGGGGGTGTTGTCTTTCATACCTATAATAATGTATGTATATTTGTGTGTATGTACTGTTTGTGTATATGTATACACTTTGCTTTGTGAGAGAATCGAAGCGGAAATACTTGTGTTTGTCTCTCCATGTTCACTAGCTTGTTGGCGCTTCTCAACTACCGTGGTGAGTTTCTTATACACAACATGCCAGTGCTGCTGGTATTGAATGACGCTTGTAAGCTTGGGGGAAATTTTATTTTATTCCCGTTTAATTTTGGTCAAATCAAAATTTTGTTTCGTTGAGTTATACATTATTCAGTTATTTACATACATATGGGTTATGTAGTAATGGGTAATTAAAGAATGACAAACGGTATTAATGTATATTTCAACAGTGTCATTTTCAAACTATTCCAAACTTGCACCGCTAAAACACACCTTTGCGTACACCCCTGTTGAAGACAGCACTGTGAACGGGCTGCAACATTTTTGCTATGATTCTAGATATGATGCGATCGGTCTTCAGATAAACATTGAAGCAGGTTATAGCTGAACTTAGTGGAGAAATCTGAAGTATATATTTTAAATGGAATGACGCCTACCGAAAACTGATGTAGTTCAAAGTTTTTGCAATATTACTGTAGTACAGCATATTCAAAATATTAAGAAGCTGCTCATTTATCGAAATGTCGATATCGAATCACTAAAGCATATAGCCAATTGACCGATCCTAATCAAGTGCTTTTATGTATAACTTTTTCATTTGACAATATATCTTCATGAAATTTAGCACGGATTACTGTCTAATATAATACTACAATCTCCGAAGGAATTGTTTAGATCGAACCACTAGCGCGTATAGCTGCCATACAAACTAAACGATCAAATTCAAGTTCTTGTATGAAACACTTTTTACTTGTGAAGGGTATTGTAGCTTCGATACAATTGAAGTAAACGTTTTTCTCGCTTTTTTTTTAAATAAATTATAATAACTTAGTATGGCGATCAAATCTTGGCTCAAGCTTTGCAAAATTTTGTGCTCTAGATTAATAAAAGACGCTTGAAGTCGCAAAATTTTAAAATTTAGTATGAATAGATTTTTATAATAATAAATGCTTTCGTTTATCACTACTATAGTGAGGACAGGCCCAGGGTTAATAGTACTTTCAAGACCCATAGGACGTCTGCGCTGGTTCTAATTCGAAGCTCATATATTTTGCATGAAAAACTTTAAATGCGCTCGGGGCTAAAATATGTATTGGGCAACACTGATTTCACCACTTTGCAGCCCATTGAAATCAACACGCCAAATACAAAAGCGTACGCTACTCGCAGCTACACCACACTCGCGACTCGCGTTAGCTTAATCGTACATCACACATCGTTTTTGGACGGGCGTCTATTGTATTAACGGCATCGCCGATGCAAATTCTAATAAAACGAAAAGTCTACCAACAAAGCGTAGCAATTTTTGCGACCATAAACAAAACGTTCAGCAAGAAGCAGAGCGTTAAAGGAAAGCACGCGCATGAAACCAAACACTAATTCACATACAAACACACATAGAAAAAAAAAATAACGGGTATTTTGGATGCGGACGCGTTTAATTTGGACAGCTGTACTAATTTATGACCAGGTGCATAGATAAAAATTTATCAGAGCCGAAAAAAAGAGGCTGTATTGAAATTTATATAAAAATACATATACATTGTATATGTCAATATATGTAGGTATATGCACATGTATGCATACACATATGCAAATTGAAGAACCTTGGTGCGGTTGCAGCGAAAATAGTGTTAAATAAGTCGTTTAGCGTCTCGCACAGTCCACGCTAAACAAGTTTTGGCGAAAAAGTGCAAAAGCAAAAGAATTTTTTTTGTTGCAAAAATATCGAAAGGCCAAAAAGTGTAAGCCAAAATAGTGGTGTGATTCCGTGTTTAAAAATAGTCATTCAGCAATAAAGCGCTTGCCGTGTCAGCGTGCCACGGCCAAACACGACAAAAGAAAAGGAAAAACAGAAAAAGTTTTGAAAAATAAAAATAACAAAGTACAGGAAGTGCAAAATACAGCAATAAAAGCGAAAATAAACATTCGCGGCGAAGCGTTGCATGCAGCAAACATCTTCCAAAAAACGCTGTAAGTATTTTAACTTTTAAGCAGCAACAACACACAGATGTAAACCCCATAAATAGTATTGAGAAAGTAATAAATGACTGGCGATAGACAAACGGTGGCGGAGGGGGTGGAAACCGGCGACACGTGCCGCTGCCGCCAGGCCATTTTATATATACAAACCCAAAAACATACACTTTTAAGTCACCAAAGTGTGCAGTTAAAAATTGTTCGCATGTGTGTGTGTGTATGTATGTGTGTATGAGTGCGCGGCAGCAAACAAAGCAGCAGTGACGATGCGCAGTGATGTCGCAAACAATTTACTCACTTCCCTTGCTGTCATTGTTATTGTAGTAGTTTTCATTTCTGTTTTGACGTGGGCTTTTGTCAATCTGCCTTCAGCGGGGCATTCAAGTTGCGAAAAGCAAGCCGAAGCGAATGAAAAACGCCTACAAAGTCGTGTCGCACAAATACAATTACACAATTACATATACATATATACACATGAAGAATATACATGTATATATGTATATATACATATACATAATTACATACATTTATATATTTATATAGATAATTTTGTACATGCTTGCGTGTCTCATACATGTAGCAGCAACGGCAATGCTGCACTTGCCGTTTCACGAATGCACAATAACTACAGTAAAATCGTGAATCGCCCTCCAATGTCTACACAATTTCTTTGATTGCTGAATTTTGTATCTTGTCATCGTTTGTTTGCGTTGTCTGCTACACGCATACACACATACACCCATAAATACAGCTATACATTTACCATATACCTACATACGAGTATATACATAAATTAGATATATATGTATACTATATGGTTACTGCAGCAGCCATTTTCTTGTGATTATACATTTTATTCTCTCATTCATTTTCGCTTCTCTTCCCTATTTACATATATACATATCCATATACAATAGGTATATTCCAGCTTTATTGTTGCAAGCAGTCGCCGCAGTTGGCTTTACATTACCAAGGACGAATTTAGGTCGAATAGGACAGGCGTGTGAATACGCATTGTTCAATGCGCAAAATAAGCACACGCATACACACCTGCATATATAATATCATACAAATATACATATTAAATATAATACCAACATATACATTTATATACATACATATATAGGTGTGCACACAAGGATATCCTACCGTCAGCAGCTGGCTTTGATTTCGAATACAAGCACCAATTGGCGCGACAAAATGTACTTCTTAGTATCTGCTCCTGCCTATATCAAAATGTATTCTATGTATGTGTGTGTGTGGTAACGATTTGCACGTTTTTCTCATGCTTAGCACAGGCTTACAGTGTCCTTGGCAGGAATTAAAACTAGATAATTGTGTCGCGGCTATTTTTGGGCGCAAGAAAGTGGGTTTTGTAATGAAAATATATCAAGATATCTGATAGTTGAATTAACAGCATCTAACGGTAACTTGATTAAAATATTTCAAAAATTTTGTTATTTATGCAACTAAAATAGGTTGTGACACCAGGGTTGCTTTAGAACATAAAAAAAACATTTTAAATATATTTATATATTTTAAATAGATTTTGTTTTTAATCTTTACATAACTGCCTTTGTCAGGGTTACACTGACGCTATAATTTTCCACATATACAAAAGATTCCTTACAATAACTTTGAGCGTTCAGTTTGTATGGCAGCTATATGCTAAAGTGATTCGATCTGAATAATTTCTTCGCATTGCATCATTGCTTTAGGAAATACTCCGTGCCACTTTTCTTGAAGATATCTCGTCAAATGAAAAAGACAGAGGGACTGATAGAGGGACATACGGACAGACAGACGTCATGGCTAAATCGACTCTGCTCGTCACGCTGGGCAGACAGGGCTCTAAGGCGGATGAAACAAAACTTCACAGCCGCTGTTATTAAAATAGTTTGTTATCGGTTCCTCGCGCTGTAAGAGACTGAGTGTTGTTATTACGATAAATTATTGCCTTGTATCTAGTAGCAAATTACGGGCGCTTTTCGACAAGCCATCGCTTTAGTTGCGTTGATTTCGCTGCCTGGCTAGGTTTCACTTATGATTTTTCACTTTTAGGGTTGTAGTAATGGTTCCCTTTTTCATCACCAGTCAGAAAGTTAGATGTAAAAGCGACTTCTTTTTGTACCGTTTAAGCAGCATTTCTGACATGAAAAAGCGTATCTTACCGTCCCATGGCTTCAATTCATATGGCATCCAATATCTTCCTTGCTTTTGAATATATTCGCGGTTGGTTTTAAACGTTTTAAAATGGCTGCTTGCAGAACTCCCAAAGATTCTGTGAGCTCTACTTGTGTTTGGCAATAATCTTCATTGAGTAATCCTTCCAGTTCCTCATCTTCAAACTTTGTTAGCCGTCCAGGATGATCTTCGTCTTCCAAGACAAAATCACTACTTTTAAATTGTGAAAAACATTTTTGGACATTCACTCAGCAAGAGCATATTTACCATGAACCTTTACAAAAACACTTTTCATAAAGTTGGCCATAAAAATGTATAAATAACGAATAAATTTAATTATATGTCTGGCTTGACTTGTCACCACTCCACTCATCTACTTCATAACTAAAACAAATTTCGGTGACTTTACTGAGTTCTTTCATCGATAACAATGTGTAAACTTCTCTCTTAAATCTTGATAGTAATTATCGAAGCGTCTGAAAGGGAAGAAACTCAAGTGTTCTGAGAAATAACTCCAATAATTTCGACAGCACCGTCGACAATCACACGACAATCTGGTAGTGAGAGATCGACAACTTCTTAGGTGGCTGATATTTTTACCTAAAACTACAGTATACATTTTGAAAAGCCTGGAACTGTTATCCTAAACTTTTTCACTACAAACAAATTTGATAAAAAGAAATTCACTTTAATTACAAAAGTATTTAAAAGGAAGGATAAAATGCAATAACGCACTCCGTCACAAATCCGCTAGAAATCAAATATTTGTTAAAGCAACTATTAGCCATATAAATGTGAACACTTTTCTTAAGGAAAAGCAAAATAGGAGTTGTCATCGATTGGCCAATTCTGTACTCTCGTTGCTTTCTATTTGTATTAAACGCAGAAGAGTACGTATATACCCATTCTCCATTTTTTTATGTCAGCCTATTGAACTTAAACCAGTTGTTTGTTCGATTCGTCACACATCAAGATTACTTGAAAATAGTTAGTATTTACCATGCTTATAACACATACCCATAGTAATCTAAATATGGTTTTTTGTACCAAATGAATCCACCCATTTCATTTTCATTTCAAAGTAGTTCCATGGAAGCATTGGTTTGGAGGTTTGGCGGTTTCCGTATTGACCGTAATTTATCCACTACTTAACCACTGTTCAGTTGAATGCCTTAACAGCACTGGCACGTCGAATAATATTACACAGAATTTTAAGAAGGAGAATTGTAAAATTTTTACACACGCAAATATGCCGATAGGCACACGCGCCTTTGACCGGTCGACCTCTAGGGTATATCCTCCTTTTTATTTCCATTTTTGTATTTCTTGTCTGCTATCCCGGCAGCGTAAGCGTGTCTTCGTGACATTTTACAGTCGCATCGGAGCGAACTTCATCCGAGCAATGGCGTGAGTTAGTGTGGGATTTTAATGTTATCTGTAGACAAGGGAGGTACGCAAAAGTTAACAGCGGCACGCTGTGTGGATCGGTCCTGGAATTACGGGGTGTTAATGTAAAAGGTAAAGTGTGCTCGTGTTTTGTTATGGATTCCATCTGGCTCTGCATAAATTTCGTATGCAAAACAGGATAAGAGTGTAGTATTTTAAAACTGGATTTACAGTTATTTTGTTTTTTGTCTGAGGTATGTTATTATAATTTTATATTTTTATATTAATAGAACTAATAAAAACAAAATTTTAAAATTAAATTTTCAATTGATCAGGAGTATAATAGCGTTACTGATACGTCAAATTTACACAAATATGTTATCATTACATATAACGCTAGCTTGATATATATACATATAGATAACTATGCATGGATTGCCATAAATTGCCGTTTAAGAAAAGCACCACGTCTACTATTATTATACCATAATTCTTATATAGCGCTGATTCTTACTTTTAATATAATACCTTACCTATTGATTTATAGTAGGTATGAAAGCAAAAAAAGAGATAAAAGTAATTATATTAGACACCTAAGAAAGATATATTCTAAAATACTTTAGTGGGTATATGTCTTGGCTATGTGACAAAGTGAAGATGACAGAAAATGGTGTGAAAGTTCACTTAAAACCAGATAATTTGAGAAATGATATTTACAGTTAGATGTGATTCTTTAGAAAAATATTTTTCAATGAAAAAACTGTGGGAATTTAAACAATAAAATTATAGCTACTTTATTAAATTTTTTTAAACAATTTCAGCAATCAGAATTTGAAAATTTAAAATAAAGAAATGGTCTCAAAGGTATAATTATAGTGTTGAAAATTTAATGTTTTAATGAAAGAAATTATAGTTGTTTTAGCTTAATGTTGTTCTAATAGTTTTCAAGCAACCATTAAGTGAGCCAATAAACATTGTTGCTTTTAACAAGTGGTCTCAAGATTATACAGATTTAATTTAAGATAATTACCACTTCATTAGAAAAGTTGTTTTCTTAAATGAGCGAAATTACAATTTTCTCTTCTCAAAAATATTTTCAAAAAGATCTAGTGTTATCTAGAAAATTAAATACACCACGGTACCGCTAAAGGGTTAACATGAAATTTCTGTTTTTCAAAAGAATACAACAACTCTTTTTGCTTTTTAAAGTTTAATGAAATACAAGTATCACACACAAAACAAGACAAAATTAGACACATTTTAAGGGCTAATTAACTTGTTAATACTTTGTTAACTGTTTATTGTAAATGTGCAAATATTTATGTCTAATAAACCGTATTTTTTTTATTACTCATTTGCTTGTTAAGAAGTAAATATCAAAAAGCAAATACACACATGTGCATATATAGTACTTAAATGCATAA